GGCCATCGACGACACCACTTCTACGTTACCGTAATCAACAACCAATACACGGACGGCTCTATCATTGTTGGTGAACATAATCTGTTGAATACGACATCGACACCACTTTTGATGAATTGTCGAATAAACCAATAGTTGTTGTCCTGGACTGATGTCGTCGACACTTAACGGACGCCGTCCACAAGTGTATTGTTGAGATATTTACGGCTTTTGCTAGCGATGGCCATTGTGTTTAAGCATCGAACATATGAGTTGACAACATATAAAAACAAATTTTAAAATTTAAAATATATTTTTCTTAAAAGCTAACTTATAATAATAAACTGAGTTAACAAATCAATTGTTTTCAATGTTTTATTATAGAATTTATTAAAAAGATAATTTTTCGTTTTTGATAACAAAGCATATTTAAATTTAACTATATTTTCATCAAAATTATATTATTAAATTGTCAAAACAAGTGCTCATAAATAAAAACAATTGTATACTAATTTTAGTCGCGTTCCTATTGCAGATCCCTTATGTCATTTCGGGCATCGACTTGAAACTTGCATTGTCAAAATATTTTACTACATAGTATTATATACTAAATTTTACTTAAATAATAGGAATAAATAGTTAGGTGTATAGTAAATTTTATAAATATATAATATTAAATAGGAAGTTAATATACAAATATAATCCATATATATATATAGATTTGTATTTTTCACGAATTCCTGAAAGGAATACGTATATGAATTCTAAAAGTCTGTCCGTCTGTCCGTCTGTCCGTCTGTCCGTCTGTCCGTCTGTCTGTCCCACATAGATTAGTGGTTCGAATCCAGACTCTGCTACAAAATTTTTTTTGATTTTTTTTATTTTATTTTTTTATAAAGCATAAAAAATGAGCTATGGGATAAGTATTGAAATTTTGATATTTCATCAGGAACATAGAGAAAATGGCGTCTAAAAATTAAAAAAAAATTTTTTTTTTTTTACGAATTCCTGAAAGGAATACGTATATGCATTCTAAAAGTCTGTCTGTCTGTCCGTCTGTCTGTCTGTCTGTCCCACGAGGACATAGGTTCGAATCCAGGCTCCGCTACAAAATTTTTTTTTGATTTTTTTTGATTTTTTTCTTGATTTTTTTCCTTTTTAAGTTAAGGAATTCGTGTGGAAATGCTTTTAAAGCATTCTCAACTGGTATTAATTATTTATTTTAAAAATGAATTTATTTAAATTATCAGCAGAAGTGTTGATTACTAAAGAGAATTTTATTGAATGGCTTAATCGTAAAGAGCTTCTAGTCATTACCGATAGTAGGGCTTGTTCTCATTGCAAAAGGGAAATGACATTTGAAGCTGACAACGGATGGGAACGATTTCGTTGCCGGAGATCACATAATCCCGGATAAATCTGTTGATTTCAGTGGCAAGTGATTTTTTTAATATGTAAAAATGCATCCGCGAAAAGTCATACAATTGGCACATTGCTTTGCTGCAGGCTTTAATTAGCCGTAAACAATGAGAGAGACGGGAGTGACACTGTCTTCAATTAGTTCAAATACTGAACAGAAATATTTTAAAAAAATGTATTACCCTTATAATTAGGTTAGGTTAGGTTAGGTTAGGTTAGGTTAGGTTAGGTAACGTAGACGTAGACGTAGACTAATACATTTATTTTTCAGGTTTGCATGTGTCAATTGAATTTGGATTCTAATAATCGCTGTAAAGATTAACGAGTGTAAGTTTGGCAAATGAAAGTATAATGTCGGACGCATTTGTGAAGGCGATTTGTGATAGATATTTGGTATTCTCGATAGTGAGACCGGTAATTATCAGTTAGAATTGTGTCCCGACTGAAAGCTTGATAGAAATACACTGATCGCTTTAATTAAAAAGCATGTGGCACCGGGAACTGAAATCCACATCGATTGTTGGAAAACCTATAATTTTGTTATAACCCTGAAACAGGTGCACATACACACGCTATTGAAGGGAACTGGAAGCACATAAGTAACGACAATCTGCTCGCCGGACATATCGGACAACACGAGCGGACATTTGACAAGTGTTTTCCCGGACATCTTATGATTGCCGACAGCGCTGTTGGCCGTTGTGTTTATGAGTTGACACAAATAAGTTGATAAATCACATGTTATCAACAAAAAATAACAATAGAAAATCAAAATTATAACTTTCAAAATAGTTAGCATCAAAGCTACTAAACTGAATGAATAATAACTGAAATTGATTTCAATGTTTTATTGCATTTTTTGTTTGTTTGTTTGTTTTTGTGAATTTCCAATGAAATCTATGGGATTAGTAAAACATTAAAGTATACCGCAATTTCATTACTATGAAAAACAGTATTATTACTAATATACAGTACTGATGACAATTAATTAGGATATAAATAATTAGTTAACTTTTTTTTTTGCTTAAATTTATATTTAAATTATTTTTTTTGCAGATATTAATATTATATTTATAAATAATTATTACAATTTATAAAAATATTGGCAATAAGTAATGACTATAATATAACGTATACGCCGACGGTATTTAAAAAAAAAATATAAATATTTTTATAAATTGTAATAATTATTAATAAATAATATTAAAAACCGACGGCGTATACGGTATATTACATTCATTACATTGGACGTTAAGGGACGCCAATTGGCAATTGTTGTTATCATTGATATCCAATCGGATCCATCAGATTGATGGACAAAGACAACAACAACAGCGTCGTTGCCAATGATGACAACTATTCTGTAGATTTGGTTTTTTTAAAATTTGTTTACAATATATTTTGACTGACTTTTATAAGGTTAAGTTGAAACGGAATGTCAATACCAACAAAAAATCTGATATTATTTCCTACAAATTAAAAAAAAAAGTTTTACGACAAATGTCTGGTTAGTCGAAACTTGGATGAGATTTAGATTAGATTTTATAGTAAACATAATATCCGTTTCAATTAGTTTATCGAAGTTATAGTCTGTCGGATATTATATACACTATATTTTATAGTAAATAAACCTAAAAACTGCCAATAAATTTATATAATTAGGATATACAATACATAAGTATGTGTTATAATAAGGGTTTTAAGAAAGTAAATGCCTGCCCTGGCAATGCCCAAATAGATGCCATAAATGCCTGCCAATTTAAATTGCTAAAAAGCAACTGTATTTATAAAAATAATGTAATTTAGTATTTTAACGTGTTAATTAAATTTACAATTCATTTACTTATTTCCAATGATATTACCTTTTAATTTAAAGGTATACAAAACAAAAATACAAGAAAATATATTATAAAAACAATGTTTTATAAATAAATTAATAATATAAAATTAAAATAATAGGTCTCACCACCTGAAAATAGATGCCCAGTGCATGGCAGACATTTGGCAAAATTGTCATCTATTGTTTATGCCTACCATTTTTAAAACCCTGGTTATACTAGTCCTCTACTGACTCGACAATACAGTCGTTCAGATCCCAGGCCTTACAACAGAAAGACTTTTCTGCATTATTGCCGCTTTTCTTGCCGTTTGTTCGCCAAACCTGACGAACGGTTGTCACACACGATATGTAATCTATGGATCAGTTTCTGTATGCGAACATTACGGCCGATAATGACACCCGAACTGTCCTTCTCTACGGTTCCCAATGTCATCCGAAACTCTCGAATCAAGTCTTTAAACGATTGTATAGCTTTTGGACCCCACTCTGGACTATCGCCTCTCGGCTTTATCTTTGGCAGTCGGCATTCAAAACAAAACGACTGACCATTGTTTGCTCCGGTAATTTCATTGGTCGATTGACGCAAGTTGGCCACCGAAGACACCACTTCTACGTTACCGTAATCAACAACCAATACACRGACGGCTCTATCATTGTTGGTKAACATAATCTGTTGAATACGACATCGACACCATTGTTGATGAATTGTTGAATAAACCAACAGTTGTTGTCCGGGACTGATGTCGTCGACACTTAACGGCCGACTAATGTCTAGTGGACGCTGAATATGTCGATCGATTGCTGCAATGGTTGGTCATCGGCATTAAGTCTACAGTAAAAGSGTTCGGGATTTTCGACATACATAACGACTACCGGCTCGTCGGACATATCGGACAAATCAATTGGACATTTCACAAGTGTTTTGTTGGGGGTCTTACAGCTTCCGCCAGCGCTGTTGGCCATTGTGTTTATTTAGTGGACACAACTATCAATTGAAATTAAGTAATTTAAAAAGTGAAATCAAATTAGTTGTTCAAAAAAAATTACAAACTTTAAAATAATTAGCAAAATCAGTATTAAATTGATTGTATAATAATAACTCACAATTAATTTCAATGTTTTATAATATTTTTTTTGTGTATATTTTCAATGTATTAGTAAAACATAAAAGTATAGCGAAATTCATTATTATGTAAATGTTTTGGTTTAAATTATTTAATTGCAATTATGTTTAGATTTTTTAAATTTTATATTTAAAAAAAACATTTACATGTCTATAAATATTTATTTTTATCTATACACCAACGTATAGATCAATGTTGCTATTAATAAAAGCGATACAAATCAATAAAAAAAACAACAACAAAAATAATTTATTGATTTAAATAAAAACAAATTGAAATCAAAAAAAAATAAATAAATAAATAGTTATTGGTTTCAATGTTATGTTTGATTTTGTTTTGTTTTATAATAAATCCTATTTTTAATGCCTATTGAAATTGGTTATACATTACATTACTGGAAAAAATCACCAGGTGCCATTATAGGAAAATTAGAAAAATTTCACAATTTATATAAAAATTTATATATTATCCTCAAAATCCATATGGGAAATAAATTTAGTATTTTTATTATCAATATATTATATAATAGTTATTATTAAGGTATATATACAGTATATATATTGTCTTAATAAACTCAAAGTCAATATATTATAGAAAATATTGAATACAATTCAAATTCAATCATAAAATAAAACTAAACAAAAAAAATGAAAATCATTTTATTTGACGTCTTATTAATGACTATGGCTTACGGTATGATAAACAATATGATTCAATTCAATTCAATAAATTATATTTTTAAACAAAAAACAAATATGTTGTTATCAACTAATATGATATATTGACCACAAATTTATAATTTTTTTTTAAAAAAAATTCACATAAAAATTTCTATAATAATTAGTTTGTAAGTCGGCATCGCTAGAGACTAGTAGTTCATCACCAAAACAACAGAGTCAAGACTTCAAGAAGCAGGTCCTGCCACAGGTTACCAATATTTTAGATGAAGTACACAATGCTATCCAAACGTTGAAGAAAAGCGGCAAATCTGGTCTAAGACACGACCTGCTGAAGGCTATTGAACTGTCAAAGAGTATCAATGATAAACTGATGGCATTTAATCCGGTCACCGATATCGGCAAAACTGTATTCAAATCAATGTCAATCATATTTGAGGAAACTGGCCATTATTTTAAGTCGGAGTTGAAAAAACTATCACCGAATGATAATTATAACAACAACAACAACAACGATGATAATAAAAATCATGTAATCAAACAGATTAGCAATAGTATAGATGATACCAGAAAAACCATCGATGACTATCAAAAGACTGATAAAATATCCGATTTGATTAACGGACTCAAGAAAACAGCTGATTTTGATAGAGATATTGTAAAACAATTGCAAGACGTGGACCTAACCAGTGATATCGGCAAAAAATTGTTGAAAGATATTGAAAAGTTGGCCACAATTTGTAAGATTAGCATTGAAAATGAATTGAAGAATATTCCTCCGAAATAAACAAACAAACAAATAACTAACTGTCGACACTATTATACCCAGGGTTGCTAAAGGTTTTCGTTTTCAGGGGGGTATAGGGGGGGGGGTAAAATGGCAAAATTTTCGAAAAAGCTTGGGGAGGTATAGGGGGGGGGTGAACATTTTTTATTGCATTTTTAAACGACAATTTATACCTGTAATTATATGGTTATCTATTATCAATAAAAAATAATAATAATAATGTCATAAATATTGTATTTTTAATTAAATATAATTATTTTTAAAAAAAAATAATTTATAAGTATTTGTATTATTAATATTTTTCAATTATTATTAATAATAATGGATTTTTTTATATATAATAGATAACCATATAATTACAGTACTATAATGTGTGTAATTTATAGACAATAAATTTCTATAAATAATTATCTATTAAAATATATATATTTAATAAGTAATTTAATTTTATATATTTATTTTCTAGCTATTTTATTAATATAAATTTTACTTTTTATAAAAAAATATAAATAAATAATAGATCTAATTTGTTTGAAATCTAAAAAATATATTAATTTTTTTTATTATAGCAATACTTAGCAAAATATTATGAATACAAATGCCTTAATTATATAAAATGAAATAAATGATAGTTAAAAATATTTTTTACATAATACTTAAAAAATTTAGTCAAAAATCAAAAAATAATATTACAAAACATAATAAACAAAATATTTTTTTATAGACATAATATTAATAAGTTTATATATAACAGATATTGAGATTCATTATTAATCGCAAAATTTTTTATAAATACGATAAGTACAGTATATTATCAATAATAATAATAATAATAATAATGTCATAAATACTGTATTTCTAATTAAACATAATTTTTTTAAAATAATTTATAAGTATTTTTCAATTATTATTATTAATAATATTTTTTATATATATATAATAGATAACCATATAATTAATATAATGTGTGTGTAATTTATAGACAATATATTTCTATAAAATTAATTATCGATTAAAATACTAATTTGTTGTCTTTATATTTATCGTCTTCTTCATTATCATTGTCTGAATGCCATTCAAAGTCACCATTGGTTTCGTGATCAGCGCCTTCATAGTCATCYGGCAATAGTTTGTGATAGAAATCTTCGCCCACACGATAACAGCCCTCCTTTAAGGCCACCAGATATTCCTTCATCGATGGTATCGATTGTTTTCTGTCGTATGAAAACAAATCGCAGACAACAACCACAACACCCGAGTTATCCTTCTCTACGGTAGACAAAGCCATCGGTAATTCCCGACTCTTCTGTTCGAACAGTCGTATGGCTCGTGAGCTCCACTTTTTTGTGTCAATGTTTGCCGGCTTTATTCCGGCCAATCGGCACTCGAAACAAAACGGCTGACCATTGTTTGCTGCGGCAATTTCATCGGTCATATACCGCAAGTTGGCCACTGCAACCATTTCGACGTTGCCGTAGTCGACAACCAATACACGGACAACGACTCTATTATCGGTGGTCGCCAAAGAAAACTGCGGTATCACTGGTGGCGACTCACTAGTGGTGGACATAATCTGTTGGATACGACATCGACACCACTGTTGATAGATTGCCGAATAAACCAACAGTTGTTGGCCMGGACTTARGTCGTCGATAGTTAGCAAACGACAGTCATATTCTAGTGGACGTTGCAATTGGCGATCAATTGCTGCCATCATTGCCCCGAATGGTTGGTCATCGGACTTCAATCGACAGTAAAATCTTTCGGGATTTTCGACATACGTTACGACCACTGGTTCGCCGATCATACCGGTCAACGAAAGCGGACGATTCACAGTAGTTGTAGTTGTTTTAGTAGTGGTCTCACGGCTGCCGCCAGCGCTGGCCATTGTGTTGATGCTGTGGACACAAATCAATCAACAACAAAAATTATTTATTTAAAAAAACGTTAATTGAAATCGAAATCAAAAAAAAACTTTAATTGAAATCGAAATCAAAAAAAAMTTTTCAAACAAAATAGTTAACAAAATCTATTGATTTCAATGTTTGTGTTTTTTTTCATATGTTTTTATGTATTTTTATTTAATATATTTCCCAATGAAATCCCAATGAAATAATTGGTAATACAATGCATAACGCAATTGAATACAGAAATAATTATTGAAAATGTTGTATAAATTTTTTGATAAGATATTAAATATTTTATAATAATTACTATTTTTTATATAATGTATATTAAGCAACAAATAGTAAGCGATTATCAGATTTATATAAATACCTATTATTTACAATAATATATTTATATTGTAATTTATATAAATTTTTGTTAAAATATAAATAATAAACTATTAAGTTATTATAGTATCTAAATATTATATAACAATGTTTAGTAGAATTATCAAGGTTAATTCAATAGATACAGTTATTAAAATAAGTCATCTTTTTTATATGCTAGATTATTTTAGTCGAAATTATATAATAATTTAATAAATATATAAAAAATATTTATATAAATTTTAATACATAATATTACATAGATAAAAAAATTATTAAAAAAAACAATGTTTATTACAAAAAAAATAATTTATTTATTTATTGCAACAAAGTTTTAGTATATACAGTATTTAATGTTTTAATGTATGATTTTTTTTAATTTTTTTTTGTAATTAACATTGAAATTAAACTGAAATTTTATTAATTATTAAATTTGATTAGTAATTAATAATAATAATAATAGTCTCGCGTTTTTGTTGTTRATATTAATAATAATTACATTTTTATTTCAACAATAATATGTGTATTAATTCAATTGGTATTAAAAGTTTTTTTTTKTTTTTTGAATAACATTTTCTAATTTTAATATTTGCCGTTGAATTTTGTCACTTCAATAGTCAGTTATATTGTATTAATATTAGTTAGTAATTGAATTATGAAATACTACTACAATTTGTTGATTATTATCAATTTGTTGATAATAACTGTGCCATTGAGGCWTAGCAATGGCAATACACTAATCGATGGACTATTTAATAAACTATTTCATAATAAAACAAAAACTTCGACAACAGTTGAAATAATGGTAACAAAGACATTGCCATTGGTTTCAATGATAGGACAATCATTAAAACAACAAACATCGCAGTCATCGAAACAGTTGGCCGAAGACGGAGACATCTGTACGGATGGTGTGATTGAATCGATTACACGACTGGAGAACCAATCGATTGTCATCTTTCGCCAGCAAAAAGTTTGGTTRTTCGATGACAACATCAACAAACTGGTCGGTCCTTATCATCAGTGGTCACTGTTTGAATCAGATTTAATCGGTAATATAGAGTCGGCAGTAACCATACAGTCGCACAATACGATTACTGAGTTTGCCGGCACCGGTGTCTACTTCAATGATACCCATTTCCTGACCTATCGTAACTTAAGACCCTATCAGATTGAATGGGGAACACTGTTATATATGCCCCACAAAGGGCTCAAGTCGGCTATAGGTGGATCCAAACTAGAAACCTCTCAATCAATGTCTGGTCGGACATTGGCCTCGTATTACGATCCGCTGGACAAGCGGACAAAGTTTGTGTTTGACGACTACTCGGTACTTGGCTTTCAATTTGAATTGGGCTACGAGTTCTCGCAGCCGACGAGAAGCACAATGGCCAAAGAGTTGGCCAATTATGGTATCACCGAAGACATCACATTTGTGGCCGCATTTGTACGCAAACAAGGCKATGACTACGAATTGATTTTGTTCACCAATAATGGCAACTACTGTGTAATATCTATGGCCAGCCATAACAGCCAGACATGTGACTGGCGGCCAACCAAAGAGTTTATCAAATGTGATACATATGTTAAACGAAATCTGGAAACTGATGGCCAACTGAATGGTAACGGCGCCGGCGGTGATGAAGAAACTGTGATTAAGCCATCTGTGAATAATAAGACAACTGATGCCGTTGTTGTCAAMAACAAACCTACCGGAGCTACTAATGTAACCACAAAACAATCCAGTGGTCACTCATTACTAGTAAATTATTGTAGTCCAACATTGTCTGTCGTTTTAATTAATCTCTATTTAATGCTATTATTTGCTAATTATTTATTTGTTTAATATCTTATATATATATATTATTTAAATTTAGTTATATATTGTATATATATATATATACTAAAAATTTATTACATTTTATTAAATTATATGTAGATATAAGTTTTTAAAAAATAATAATTATTTTAAACAAATGAAAAATGTCAGTAAATTTTTATTATTAGAAATAAATTAAAATTATTTATATGTTTATTATTTTATTTATTTATTAATTTTAAACTAATGTAACATTTGTCGGTAATTTAGTTATAGTTATATTAAATCGTTTTAATCGCATAAATATAGTCGACAACCAATACACGGACAACGGCTCTATTATCGGTGGTCGCCAAAGAAAACTGCGGTATCACTGGTGGCGACTCACTAGTGGTGGACATAATCTGTTGGATACGACTAGACTGAACACCCAATTTATTAGTAAACCTGTATAATATCAATAGTATAAAATATACAATTTTCAAATATATTTTCCTGTATATTAAATATTATTTTCCTGTATGTTAACCTGTACTTAAATACCTATATATTGGTATATATATATATATATATAATATAAATTAAGAAAAATATAATTTAGATAATATAATTATATAAAAAGTTGAAATTTATTATTTTATTTTGAACATGAAAAATTTTATAAATATTTTTTAATAAACTATATTAAAAATACAAGCAATTTTGTACTAACAAAATTTAATTCATAGTTATTTTATACTTTTATTAATCAATTAGTTTCACATATTTTAAAACTGTATATTTTATTATACAGGTTAGCCCCTTTTCCTGTATAATACAGGTGGCACCTGTATGGGTGGTCAGTCTAGATACGACATCGACACCATTGTTGATAGATTGCCGAATAAACCAACAGTTGTTGGCCCGGACTTAGGTCGTCGATAGTTAGCGGACGGCCGACAAAGTCTAGTGGTCKTTGAAATTGGCGATCGATTGCTGCCATCATTGCCCCGAATGGTTGGTCATCGGACTTCAATCGACAGTACCGGTAAAGSGTTCAGGATTTTCTACATACGTTACGACCACTGGTTCGCCGATCATAACGGTCAACGAAAGCAGACAATTCACAGTAGTAGTAGTTGTTTTAGTAGTGGTCTCACGGCTGCTGCTGCAGCCAGCGCTGGCCATTGTGTTTATGCTGTGGACACAAATTAATCAAAAAATAAAATAAATTTATTTAAAAAAAACTTAAATTGAAATCCAAAAAAAAAAAATTTTCAAACAAAATAGTTATTAAAAATCTATTGATTTCAATGTTTGTGTGTTTTTTCATATGTTTTTATGTGATTTTATATTATACTGTAATTTCCATATATGAATTATTGGTTATACAATGCATAAAGCAATTGAATACTTGAAATAATTATTGAAAATGTTGTACAAAATTTTTAATCATAAAGATATTAAATATTTTAATAATAATTACTGTTTTTTTAAAAATTAATTACTAATGTTTCATTAATGTAAATAAAATTACATTTTTTATATAATGTATATTAAGCAACAAATAGTAAGCAATTATCAGATTTATATATATTATTTACAAAAATATATTTATATTCTAACTATTATTATTATTATTACTATATTATATAAGTTAGTATAGTATCTAGTATATTATATATAATGTTTAGTAGAGTTATCAAGGGTAATTCAATTATTAAATAAGTCATTATCATTTTTTTATATGCTAGATTATTTTAGTCGAAATTATATAATCCGTAAAATATTTATATAAATTTTAATATATAATATTACATTTAAAAAAAATTATAAAAATAATGAATTAATTTATTGCAGCAAAATTTTAGTATAMCCATATACAGTATTTATCGTTTTAATGTATGATTTATAATATTATTTATTATTTATTTTTTTTTTTATAATTAACATTGAAATTAAACTCAAATTTTTTAATTAATAAATTTGATTAGTGATTATAATATAAATTAAGTGATAATAATAGTCTCGCGTTTTTGTTGTTGATATTAATAATTATTACATTTTTATTTCAACAATAATATGTATATTAATTCAATTGGTATTAATTAAAAGTTTAGTTTTTTTGAATAACATTTTCTTTTTTTAAATTTAATATTTGCCGTTGAATTTTGTCAAATATATTTTAACAATTTGTTCAATTCAATAGTTAGTTATCTTTTTTTTTGTTTTTTTGTTTATTGAATTAATATTAGTTAGTAATTGAATTATGAAATACTATTACAATTTGTTGATTATTATCAATTTGTTGATAATAACTGTGCCATTGAGGCTTATCAACGGTCATGAACTAATCGATGGACTATTTGATAAACTATTTGATACTAAAACAAAAACTTCGACAACAGCTGAAATAATGGTAACAAAGACATTGCCAGTGGTTTCAATGATAGGACAATCAGTAAAACAACAAACATCGCAGTCATCGAAACAGTTGGCCGAAGACGAAGACATCTGTACGGATGGTGTGATTGAATCGATTACACGACTGGAGAACCAATCGATTGTCATCTTTCGTCAGCAAAAAGTTTGGTTATTCGACGACAACAGCAACAAACTGGTCGGTCCTTATCATGAGTGGTCACTGTTTACATCAGATTTAATCGGTAATATAGAGTCGGCCGTAACCATACAGTCGCACAATACGATTACTGAGTTTGCCGGCACCGGTGTCTACTTCAATGATACCCATTTCCTGACCTATCGTAACTTAAGACCCTATCAGATTGAATGGGGGACACTATTATATATGCCCCACAAAGGGCTCAAGTCGACTATAGGTGGATCCAAACGAGAAACCTCTCAATCAATGTCTGGTCGGACATTGGCCTCGTATTACGATCCGCTGGACAAGCGGACAAAGTTTGTATTTGACGACTACTCGGTACTCGGCTTTCAATTTGAATTGGGCTACGAGTTCTCGCAGCCGACGAGAAGCACAATGGCCAAAGAGTTGGCCAATTATGGTATCACCGAAGACATCACATTTGTGGCCGCATTTGTACGCAAACAAGGCGATGACTACGAATTGATTTTGTTCACCAATAATGGCAACTACTGTGTAATATCTATGGCCAGCCATAACAGCCAGACATGTGACTGGCGGCCAACCAAAGAGTTTATCAAATGTGATACATATGTTAAACGAAATCTGAAAACTGATGACCAACTGAATGGTAACGGCGCCGGCGGTGATGAAGAAACTGTGATTAAGCCATCTGTGAATAATAAGACAACTGATGCCGTTGTTGTCAACAACAAACCTACCGGAGCTACTAATGTAACCACAAAACAATCCAGTGGTCACTCATTAGTTGTAAACTATTGTAGTCCAACATTGTCTGTCGTTTTAATTAATCTCTATTTAATGCTAATTATTTGCTAATTATTTATTTGTTTAATATCTTATATATATATATTATTTAAATTTAGTTATATATTGTATATATATATATACTAAAAATTTATTACATTTTATTAAATTATATGTAAATATAAGTTTAAAAAACAATAATAATAATTATTATTATTAACTTTAAACAAATGAACAAATATCAGTAGATTTTTATTATTAGAAATAAATAAATTTTATTTTTGTTTATTATTTATTTTATTTATTTATTAATTTTAAACTAATGTAATATTTGTCGGTAATTTAGTTATAGTTGTATTAAATCGTTTTTTGCGCATAAATATTGACGTATAGGTTATGTTTATCGGCTGATTGTCGGCACAATTGTTTAGTTCATCTACAAAATGATCAAACGATTTGATGGTTTGACCATTAATTTTGGTAATCACATCGTCTTCCTCTAACTCAGAGCTTGTTTTTTTATATTGGGTGTAAATAAAACCAAAATTATTAAAACTAAAAAAAAATAATTATTATTAATTCAACCCATACTTGCACTTATTATGGATAAATTTTATAGTTATATAACAGCCATCTGCTCGCCATTTGAATTGAAAGCCTAATTTTATCTCCCGGTGCTCTGTTAGTCGTCTCAATCTATTAGTCTCCTTAAACTTGTCGGCACTGACCAAAAATTCTGTGTCCAACAAACAAACAAATATTAAATTGAATTTTTTTTTATTAATTAATTAATACATTACTTTCTAAATAGCCGATAGATATGGCAAATCTTTGGTAACCGTTTTCCACAATACAATTCAGTCCACATAATTGTCCAGTTAGGACATCAATAAGCGGACCGCCAGAAAATCCGGGATATATTGGCAAACAGTGTTCAATGTATACCATTCCCGGCACACAAGAGTCAAAATAGGATAGATTATGATCGGATAGATACGTACTTTCGGGACATACGACTATATCAGTACAGAGAGAGTAGATGGGGGTCGGGTAGCCCAGTGACAGCATTTGGTCGCCAAATACCGGCACCGATTTGGTAATATCAAACTTTACTACCATATCATCAATGATATTAATATCTCGAAACTCAATGAGTGCCAAATCAAGTTTCTGGTCGACATAGACTACTCGTCCACTAGTAGACCAATCCTGGCCATAGACGTTGGTTACTATCAGACCTTCGACCACATGATAGTTAGTAATCAGTTTAGCTGATAGGCCGCCGTCGACAATGTCAACAATACAACCGCTGCCCCGATAGCTGTCCCTGAAGTCGATTCCCATAACATTTATGCGAACAAATGATTTCATCCATTTGTCGATCAGTTTGTCGATATCGATGACATTGTTGTCGGTATCGGTGTTGTCGTCGTCATCGTCTTTATTAATCAAATAACCATTTCTCAGATATTGTCTATAATTATTGATATTATAGTAATTATTAAGATATTTATAGTATTTTCGCTGTTGTTGTCTCATATAAATGCTGTCAACTATCGGTAGTATTAATAGTTTAGATATAATTGAAATCATTTATAGTTGTTGTTGTCATTGATTTGATAACATATACAGTATATTATTGTATATCCTTTTTTTATAACTGTTAATAAATTTTATAAATTATGATTTTATTTAATTATTACGTGACTTTAGTACGGGATATGAAAATGACGAAAACGGGAATAATAATAATAATAATGAATTTCCCGAAATTGATTTACTGTAACAACCGTTTATGACAATCAAAAATACCGACTAATTTAACACTAAATATTGAAATATCATAACTAAATAAATAAATAAAAAAATTGGTGTTTAAATCAATAATTTATAATTTAGACCCAATTTTTTTTAATATCTATTGCTAATCGCTTTTGTAAAAATTTATGAATAAGTTATACTTATAATATATTGTATATAAACATAAATGCTATTTTTAATTTATATTTTACTAATCTATGTTATTATATAATTATTATTAAAATAAACTTATTTATCCAATTTTTTTACATAAACTTTTAGTTTTAAAAAATATATTTTCTATTAGTTTTATGATAACTATTAAAATATATTTAAAATATATTTAAAATTTGTTATTTATTATTTGTTTGACTAAATTATGTGACTAAACTATATTACTATGGGTTATATAATAGCAAATTGTTTTTGATAATTTCAATATCAATAGCATATAAATAATTTTAAAAAAGATAAAAAAAAATAATATTTGAAAAAATAATTAATTATTGTYACAACAAATACAGTATAATAAGTTAATAATAAATAATACAACAATTTTTTATAATAAAACACAACAAAACTAAATATTGTTTATCAAATATATATATATATAATACTTGTCAGAGAAATATATAATAAATATTATCATAAATTTTTATATCAGAATAATATATTAAAAGTATATAATAATTTTGTTAACCATAAAGTGTTAACATAATAATAATGTTGGCATTAAAACCATTGATGATAATAATAATATAAATAATAATAATAATAATTGCCGGGCAATAACATTATCGATATTAACGATGTCGATCATCATCATCAGCAGTGATGGACAGTTTACCGACGACTTGGCCGCCGACTCAGCCGCTGCCTCCGAGTGTGTTGACTTTGGCGATAGTCGGCCGTCACTGTTGAGACACGGATAGTATAGGTGATGGTCAGCATAATCACAGGGAAACTCCGGATGAGTCCATAGGGKYACACATTTCGGCTCGTCGGCGATCACATTGTTGTGGGCGCAGTGTTTCTGACTGTTATTGTAGGCCTCCTGCCAGTCGTCAAGCATCGGCAACTTGCACTCATTGCTCTGGTAGTGGGGTGGGGTTAGGGGGGATGGGAGCAAACAATAAGATAAGTGTATTTTTAAAAAACTGTTATGAATTGGCATCATATTTGGCCGATTTAATCTCTTATTAAACTGTTACACACGTTTCCCAGCACCTGTAGCTTTTTTTTGTTTGTTGTTTGAGGGGGTATTAGGTTAGGAAATATACTTACAACTTTCTTACGGATACAGTAGATCTCAAGATCGGCACAACATTCCTCCAGTGGTTTATTATAGCCGTCGGCCATTCCCCATCTGTGATACGTACAGGAGGTCATCGATCGGACGTTTTCCTTGCATTGGTTAAGATTGTCGGCAGCGGCGGCGGCGGCGATCATACCGGTCGACACCATCAGCAACAGCACCGACACAATTAGACACAACAACATCAACAAGTAGTTTATCGATTAAATGGGGTGTCAGGACTGTCCCYAAAGTGTTTTTCAATGTATATAACTGTTTGTTTAACTATTATATATATATATGGTTAGTATTAACGGTTATAAAAYATATAAAATATTTATTTAATTAATTTGTCTTATAAATTATTTTTAGTTTTTTTTATTGTTGAAATACAATAGTAGATCATAATGCACGTGCATATTTGATTTTTTTAAAACTAATAAATTATATTAAACGTGGTATTAAAMGCGCGTGAAATTATAATATAAATTTTACTGTATATCCACACACACACACACAAAATGTACCGAAATTTGTGACCACAATTTTTGTAATAATAATAAATAAATAAATGTTTACCACAAAAACCGTTATCATCATCATTGTCATCATAAATGTTGGCCATCTAATGGTGGCCAAAACATCGGCAACACTGGACTTGTTTTGCAACCGAAATCGATCGGATCTGTCAATTGATGCGGCACTTAGCGAACTGCCGCGAAATCAACAGCCAATGGTCAAACTGTTTATCGGTGACCAGTATTACGAATTCTGGATTGTCAACGCATCCAGGTTACGATTTTCGGGGCAAAAACCTCTGGCCAGTATAGTAACATCGGGTTCGGCAGTGGTTAGGGCACCGATAAACATATCTTTCTATATGGACGACAACTATGAAGAGTTTCGTTTGATTAATACAATTACTGGCCAGATGTGGAATATATTCAGAAACGGTACCTTAAATCGGGAGGTCATTAACAACAAAGAGATCTATACGTTTGAAGCGATTCGGACGACCAAAGATGTCCGGTTAGTCCACTATCTGGTCTACCATAGGACCGATCCTAAGATTTTTGTGTCCACCTATGACTACAAAGAGAAGTACGTTTTGAGGACAATGATTGACTCTAGCGACGGACAACAGATGGTCCGATTGGTGAATGCGTCGACACCTGACAAGGAGACAGTCAATATGTTACCGGTTTATAGACTAAATGGACAGTTACCGACGGCAGCGTTTGTATACAGATATTGGTGGCACGTGTTTGCCGGGCGCTGGTGGTGTCGGATGAAAGTTTTTAAGCTCAAGTGGTCACCGTTCTGTCAGATCAAAGACATTAGCGAATTGATTGGCGACTGTACCGACAACGCCGCCATCATCACCACTCAGACGACAACCACTTCCAGTACAACTACTACTACTACGCCATCTACCACTCAGACGACTCCCAGTACGACATCCACAACCATTCAGACTACGCCCAGTACGACGTCTACAACCATTCAGACTACGCCTAGTACGACGTCTACAACTATTCAGACAACTCCAAGTACGACGTCCACCACCACCACCACCATTAAGACGAGTAGTAGTACGACGTCCTCAACAACAACGACTACGAGTAGTACCCCCTCTACGACAACTACTGGCCTTACATCGACAGAGGATAATACGCCGCCGCCATCGCTGCCTACAACAGTAGACAGTATGAGTACCGATGATATTACAACAAAAACAATTGCCGACACCAACACCGACATCGATAAAAGTACCGAAAAGCCCGGCAGTGATGATGATGACAGTACCAAAACATTTATATACGTTATAGTTGTAATATTGGCTATCATATTAATAGCCTGGGCACTGGTAGGTATCGGCATATTAGCTGGCTATAAGTTTTCGAATACGGTTGTCCAAAAATCGGACCAAAAAGCACCGCTGACTACCGAAGCTGAATCAACTATGCGGTCACATTCGGCATTGTCGGTCATGACTGTCAACTCAAATACCGGTTCTGTTAATCAGTAAATTATAGTATATTTTATAATAATAATAATAATATATTTTTTGATTTAGAAAACTATTTATTAATATTTTTTATATTTTTTATAAATATTTGTTGTCATTACTGATTATCGTAATTGGTTATAGTTTTAAAATGTAATATAAAAATACTGTATATATATTAATATTATATAATATAATTTATTGTTTTGTTGATTATTAATAAAAAAAAGCTAACTGTTCCCCATAACTTATTTTTATATTTATTAAAGTATTATTATTACTTTTTTTAAAAAAATATTACTAAACATAGTTAAAATTAATGCAAATAAATTATATCATAATTTTTTTTGGTTGGATAAAGTATAATGAAAAATATTTTAATTAACTTTAAATTATTATAACTATACAAAAAAGCTAAATTAAAAGTTAATGTTTTCAATTACCAATTTATTAAGTTTATTACTGTTAACTAAATTATTATTATTTTTAAAAAATTATTTTATCGCTTAATTTTTTCAATAGTTATTTATAATGAATATTTATTAAATTAAATTAATTATAATTTAATTTTTTGGTTATATATATATGATTTAAAGTATAAGAAAATTGTTTAACTGATGTATTCAATAAAAAATATATCATTAAATTTTAAATGAAATTTTTTATTTATTTATTTAAAATTATAATTACAACAAATTAAACATTTTTTTTTGATAATGGATTCACAAATTAATAAACAAATTAAACAAAATTGTGTTTTTTTTTAAATGTAAAACTAAATACATTTTTTTGGTGCGTTTAACAATAATATTATTTCATAATAAAATATAACATTAGATTATATGATAGTTTTTGTTTGAATCAAATTATACAGTATAATACAATATTATTATTATTATCAGTTTTTAAATATATAGATTTAATTATTACATTACATTATAACAGTATATATATTCAATTTTCAAAAAATAAAATTGTTCAAAAATTATTTAACATTTTTTTCAAACTAGATTTTGTTTGTGTGTATAATATATATCTGTAACAATTACTGACAAAATTTTATAATATATAACATTTTTTTTAAAAATAATAATCAATAATAACTATTGAAACAAATAAACAAAAAACATATTTAACTGTAAGTTTTGTTTCAATGATTTATTAAATAATAAAAACTTTTAAATTATTGAAATAAATGCCAAAAAAAATTATTGTCAAAATAATTATTAAACAGAAAATAAGATAATTATTCAAAAATATATAATAAAACAATTCAAATAATTCAAAATAATTATATAAATCATAGACAAAATTACAAAACAATTTACAAATTGTTTTTTTGATTTTCATCATATTTTCTCTAAACGAAAAAAAAGTTTTCAAAAACAAAAACATAATTTAAATTACATTATCTAATTAATTAGAAAAAAATTAACTTAAATTATTAAACAATAAATTACCTAGTTGAGGTTCATAGTTATAGTGATCAAAATTATTTATATATATATATATATATAAATATAGATAACTAGATTTTTTAACATATCTCTTAACAATCAATTGATTGTCTATAAATCATAATATTTTTAACAAATAAACAATTGATTTATAATTTTAATAATTCAATTGATGTTTTGCTATCAAATATTTTTTTCTTCAATTGGCAATTGAGACCAAAAAAAACAAAAATTAATGTAAACTAATTTTATAATTAGTTAATATAATATATAGTAATATAGTTATACTAACAATTAAGTGCTGATTATATTTAAAAAACAAAACAAACAAACAAACAAAATATTCACAAAAAAAAACATTATAACAAATTAAATATATAGATATATAATACACTATAAAGTGATAGTCAAACAAAAAGTTTAGAAAATAAATCAATTGGGAGCGATAGATAAAAACCTCCCGAAAAAAACAATTGAAAAAAATATAAACAAAAAAAATGCTTCACGAAAAATATATGATACAAACATACAGGTTGTCCACCACTACAGGTTTCGCTGCCTACCGTTCCCCTCTCCCACACACACACTACCTCTGGCGCGAGTGTTGATAAAATCTATAGTGTGTTTCGTCGCCGAACTGGTGGTTATGATGATAGCGACGACCATTAGATCTATGCTTCAATCGTCGATATTGTCGATGATTAGCCCGTAAACCGTCCCAATCGTAGAACGACGCCATTCGGGGTTTGCGCGACTTTTTCAGAAACCAATTGTCATTATTATTATTATTATTATTAAGATTATTATTGTCGTTATCGTCATCCACATCGTCATCATTATCGATGATCGTCTCRAAATCGCCTTTAAGCTCACTGTTGTCGTAGTTATCGGTTACCACCGATTGATAATCAGCAGTACTATCATCCTCATCGCCATCAACATCATTGATGTTGATATGGACCCTGACCTTGCCGTTGTTAACCCGTGATTTGTGGTAACTCTCGCGTCGGTACGCTCTATAACTTCCGTCGCCAATGTCCTCCGAACCCGTTGTGCCGGTAAACGAATAGTGCTGTTGATGTTGTTGTCGGCGACTGTTTGCCCGTTCAAAAAACCAATTGATCTTTTCTTCGTCGTCACCCTTTTTCTTCTTATCGCTTCCATCATCATTATCACTAGCAGAAGCCCCACCACTACCACTGTTGGCTCCATTTTTTGAATACCGTTTGGCCAATTTGTCCAACAATTGATTCCACTTGTTGTCCATTTTGTCAATAACTTTGGCAATACGTGCGGCAAATTGGTCGACACGTGTACGAAGTTTCTCCTCTTTAGACAACAATCTGTTTCCTGCTTCGCGCAGCTTACGGACGGTTTGCTGAAAAAGTCGGGCCATTTTGTTGGCCACTTTTTCGTGACCACTACCACCCGAATCACTGCCGGCGCCGCTGCGGCCGCCGCCGCCGTTAGTAGAAGTAAATGCAAATTTCATGTCCTGTAACTCTTGCCACTTATCATGCAATCGTCTATTGAAACTCTGTAGTACTGAATGAGTTATATTAAGACCGGCGAACACTTCCGATGGTATAAACGACTCGTTTTCCGACGTCATCTTCGTATACAATGTCTTCAATTTGTCGGATACAATACCCGAACCGGTAACCAGTGCTTCTTTAACCATATTAGTCGAATTCATTACCCAATCGTATAGTACATTATCGTCGTCGTCGACGAAGTCATCATAATTGGTATTTTCATATAACGTCTTCTGATTCTTTGAATTTCCATTATTTGTATTGGAATTATCAGACTTTTCAGTCTTCTTCAACGACTCATACATTTGGCGCCACTTCTTCGACTCCAATTGTTCTGAAATCAACTGATCTTTCAATTCAGTTAACTGTTCTTCCAGTTGTTGAGCCAACAACTCTTCAGCCAACTCGTTACTACTATAACTACTACTGTAGTCGTCAACGATACTATTAACGTACTTTGTTTCGTCATCAATGTCTTCCTCGTCAATCAAGTCATCATCGCTCGACGGCGGCGGCGGCGGCTGTTCCTGTGTTGTCCATCTCAGTCGACCTATCGTTGACTTTAGTTCATCATTTTCGATGATCATCTGATTGATACGTTGTTTCAATAGATCCAATTTGACTGGCATTTTAATATCGGCACCATTATCTCTGGCACCACCACTACCACCATTTCGAATGTTGTGATCAATTCTTGACGATTGGCTGGATATTGACACGCCTTCCGCCTCCTCCTCCTCCTCACCGGCGGATATAGTATGGCCAACAACATTGACAACCTGTGCCTCCAATTGATTAATGGCAGCCTTAAGCTCTTCGTTTTCCTGCATCAATTCATCGATTTTGTCATTCAGACGCTTAAGTACAACAGAATCTTCTTCTTCGTCGTCCTCCAGTCTGGTCCTCAGTTCCTGATTTTCTGTTTCAAGAATCGCCACCCGATTGCCCCACGACTCGACAATCTGCTGATCGTCTTCTTCTTCTTCAACTAATTTCATTTTCAGTTCGCTATTCTCTTCTTCCAGATCTTTGACACGTTGTTCGCTTTGTTTGCCCTTAGATTTAACTTCTTCCAGAGTTTTCAACAACTATTGTTAAATCCCGACATAATTATCACCAAAAAAAATTAGATCCGCATATAATATATATATATTACCTGCAAGTGTTCCATTTGGGTGACCAGAAATCCGAGCTTTAGTTTATGAAACTCTTCGCCAGCCGTCTCATTGTCGCACTCTTTGTCGGCAATAATATTGCGAAGATCGCCATCGGAATGATAGTGCTGTTGAGTGCGCTCGAAGGCGTCCAACAGATACTTGTTTTCCGAAAATAATGTCTCAAATTTCTGGCGAAAATAGTCGCCATCCGAATGGCAGACCAGTGCCGACTGGCCATTGGTCTGATGGCTGCCAGTAATTTGCTGGTTATCCATACAGACTACCAGTTCGTCCTGCAATTGTTTCAATTTGATTACCTGACCCATCGACAGATGCCTGTGCTGATGATGTCGATTGTTTGACCAGCCAATAAAGTGGCCAATGCCCAGTCCAATGACGGCCGATAGCGATAAAATCAATACGAGATTCAATTTGCCATTCAGTCCCGAATTACGGGTGTGTACGTAGGCCCGAGTGCCGCGTTTTAGCTGGACTTCGGTAGTCAGCTCGCGATAGTTGAGACTCGACGTCTCGGATAGATCTTCGTTAAGTGAATCGTTAGGCGATAGTAAGTGTTGGCGAAGATATTGGTCTCTCAGAAACGATAGATCCGATACCTGCGAGACTACTGAACTCGAGCACAGGCTAGCAGTGGACAGTTGGTCGTCGTTATCATCGTCATCGTCATCATCGTCCTCATCATCGCCATTGTGGACACTATTGTGTTTATCCACTTCAACATCGTCGTCGTCATCATCGGCAGTACTGGCGTCCAGTTCGTCCAATTCGATGATATCGATATCGCTGTCGTCTGGCGATAGGTCATCATCATCGTCATCATTGGCCACTGTCGCTGCGGTGGCCGAAGAAGAAGACATAGTTTCGTCGCTAGAAGTGGCGGTCGTTGTCGTCGTATCATCGGCCGTTGTGGTGGTCGAGTCGGGCGGCGGTGGACTAACGGTAATCGATACCGTCGGGTCCTCCTCGTCGGTAGTGGTCATCACTGCAGTTGATGATTGTTGTTGTGTTTCTTCTTCTTCTTGTTGTTGTTGTTGTTGTCTTTGTTGTCTCCAATTGATAATCAGATTCAGTGTTTGTCTATCAATACTATGGATATGTTATAAACAATAATAATAATAACAATAAATACAATAATTGGTGTGAATTAGGCAATAGGGGCCACAAAAAAATTGAAATTTAATTATAATTAATTAATTTTTAATTAAAAAATTTTTTTTGTGGATATAATTTAATTTATTTTTTTTTGAGGAAAATTTAATGATTTAATTAATAAAAAAATAAAAAATCCATAAAAAACTTGCTTACATTGTTTTCATCAAGATAACACAATTTTTATTTTTTTTTTTTTAAATATGTTTTTTACATTTAATATGTTAAGTATTAATAAATTATTATTATTATTAAAAAACAGTGTTTATTGTGTATTACATTTTAGTGTTGTTGTTGTTATTACAGTACTGTTATTATGTAATGTAAATATTTATTACTGCAATAACAAAATAATATTACCAATGTTAATAAATTATGTTGGTAAATTAGTGTAAAGGGGGGCAGGGGCAAAACATATATTTATTGTAGGGGGACAAATTATACATTGAAAACGTACTTTATGGATAACTACGCTAATATGACTCACAATTGGTTAATATGACTCTCACTAATAATAATAATATTAATTTAATACCAAAAAAAACATAAGCAAAACACTGTACAAAGTTTACATTGTATTGTATTACATACACACACACACCTCTACACACACACACACACACACACACACATAGATTTTCTAATATTTGTTAAGCGCGATTCGGCTAGAGGTGCAAACGTGTTTGTGTATGTATGTGTGTGTGTGTGTGGTAACCATAGAAAATGTTATTATTAAAATATTGTTCGATTATATTCAAAACCAAAACAATAATTTACCACTAGCACATTAGTGTATATATAGTATATATATAGTATATATATATATATATATATATATGTGCACAATATTAGTGTTTAATATTTATGGGGCGGAGCATAGACAATGTTATACATAGTTATTATACACACAATTTTATTTGTATATATATATATATATTAAGTGCAATCTATGAGTATATCTATGCTTTGGTTCTATTCTACTATTGTTTTGGTTTTGTATATAATCCGAACAGTTATCGCATACAAGTGTGTGTGTGTTATAAAAATATAACCAAAAAAAATAATTTAGTTTTTTTTAAATACAAAACACACAACACATACACACATATCATATCACATATCAAATCAATATCAATGACGTTGATTACCGCCGCCGCCGCCAACACTGCCGATAATAATCAATGGCCAGTAGTAGTAAAGGCCGTAAATAATAAACATTTCCGCAATGATAGAGTGGTCACTAATGGTGGTGGTGTGCGATCCGCCGCCGCCGCCGCCAATGGCAAGAATAAAAAATTGGTTTCGCGGGCGCCGGCGGTGACCAATGGCTATGTAAAAAACAATAATAATAATAATAATAATGTTGTGGTCACTAATGGCGTAAGCGATGATGTTGGTGGTCGCGGTCATCACTGCCAGCATCGACCAGCAGCCGACGGTAGTACTAACGAGACTACAACCACCTCAACAACCACTGTATACGATGACTGGAATGCCGAAGTGTTTGACCCGCAACGGCCTTACCGTAAGTGATGTGTGACAATCGGTAATAATGTCCCTTAACTTTTTTTTGGCCATTTATTACCGATCTGTTTGATTTGATTTGATTGGTGGTTTTTTGTGTGTATTTTCTGACCAACTTTTTTCTTCAATCTATATCAGTGAACGAACCGTTGGCCTATCCGTCCTGTATGACCATTCATATGCCGATTAACTTGAAGTCATTGAAATACTATCGGCCAGATCTGCGACAACCGAAACGGATAAAAAAGTTGTCTATTAGTGAACGCCTCAAACGGCTGAAGTCGGACATTGTCGACGGCCAGTTTGATGACTGCGATAATGATGATAACAACAACAACGGCGGCGGCAATTGACGGTTACTTTACTATTATTATTATTATTATTAATAGGTATGTCCTCAATGTTGATGTGAGGACATCATTGAGGATCAACATTGAGGACATACCTATTAATAATAATAATAATAATAATGTTTTGAATAGAGCTTAGAGTTATAATAGGATTTTTTTTCACACATTTTTATTATTATTATATTGTTTTTAATTGTAGACACAGTATATATATATATATATATATATTTATATATATTGATTATATACGGACACTGCCATAAATTATATACTGTTTGTATATATATATATATATACGASTATTGTTTTAACTAAATCTTAATTAACTAACAAAATAATTACATACGCATAATGTACCGTAAAGTAACCAACAAATATATTATCGGTAATTGATATCATTTATGTTTCATTGACTTTGTGTAGTATATGTTTGAAATTTATATCACATTTATTAACTATTAGTTTGTTTGTTTATTACAATTTTTAAATATTATACTTTTAACTTTAATACTATTATTATTATAATTATAAAATTATTACATATAGAAAACACTAACAATTAAATCGGCATTTTTTGTCGTATTCATAGCCATCGAATACGTATATTGTTTTTTTTATATAAAAGTTTTTTTTATTTATATTTATTATTAATTAATTAAATCTATTATTATTTTAATTAAGTATTATTTTTTAATTTAACTTTTATATATACAATATATATGTAAATATATATAATTTTTTTTTAATTATCATTATTGTCACGTTTATTACAATATATTTGTTAATTATGGGAAGATTTTAGCAATATTTTTGTTTATGCTGTTATTATATAGTTATGATTATTATTATTAACCGATAAGTTTTGAATATCAAAATTGATTATAAATTAATACGATTTTCTTTAATAAGTGATTTTTTTAATATCTATTATTTGATTGTTAATAATAATGATATGTTTAATAATTAATTGATAATTTTTTAAGCCTTAATTAATAAGTTTTTGTTTTTTTATAACTAATAACTACTCTAAAAAATCAATACATTTTACAACAAACTATACTGTTTTTTACGATACAATACATTATGTTTATTACCAGTAGTTATAAATTATGACATTTTTTTATTGATTTTATTAATTTTTTTTATAGAAAAAAATGTTAAATTTAAAGATTGTTGTATTCATTATTAATTTTTTTTAATTACGATAGTTTTGTTTTTAATTATATTATCAAAATATTAACAAAATTTAATTGTTTAACTAATAATTTATCAATTTATACCTATAGTTTATAGCAAACAATTTTGATTGTGTGTTCACTATTTTTTTTATATATATATATTTTAGTCAACTACTAGTGTTTTACATTTAATTGTATATTAATTTGTATTGTTTTTATTTAAATTGGTTTATATATACATATATATATATATATAYACAGTATAGTTATAAAAAAACACATTCACACACATTGATTGATATATTTTTAAATTGCATGATATATAAGCATAATTTTATACATTAAATATTAATTTATATAAATCATCAGATATTGTTTTTAAAAAAAATCTATTGTCTAATAATTTTCATTAATGTTTGTTTAATTTAAAAAAATACTATAAGACATTGAATTTGTTTTTTTATATATACTAAACATATTGATCTCATATTTTAATTAACTGATTTGTTATTTTTTACATCAGAAAATAATAATAAATTTATAATAAATTTTTTTTTTTATAAATATATATATTTAATGTTTTTTATATATATAAATAAGTATTAGATACACGAAAAGTGTATATTTTTATAATTATTATTTTTTAAAATTTTACATTTATTTACTTTCAATGTTTTTAGCAAATAATTTCTAAATATTTTCCGGATATATATATTATATTTAAAGGGATTTACTGATAAATAGAGGATTTCACTGATTAAACATACAAACAGTGATTTCGTAAAAATTTGAAAACTACTGATAGTTTTAAAAATCACAACTAATAGTAATATAATGATAATAATAATAAAGTTTTTAACAACTTATTTGTGTGATTATTGTTGTTGTTATCAGTGATAAAGTCTTATCAAACAAAAATGCTAACTATTTTTTTTTGTCTGTTAGTTAGTTTGTTTAGCCATTAATTTATTAGACTAGAGAGCCGTTTAGTGAATATATATACTGAATATATCCCTGCGATCATAGAGARAGAGAGAGAGAGAGAGAGAGAGAGAGAGAGAGAGAGAGAGAGAGARAGAGARAGAGAGAGAGAGAGAGAGAGAGAGAGATCCATAATATTTATTTATACCAATCCCTTAAACATTTAAGTTTCCCAATAATTGTATTACCGATTAAAAATTGTCTGTTTTTTTTCAGGGTATGTCTAACTATAACTCTCATTCATTGAAGAAAAAGTCCTATTATTGAGGACATACCTAAATATTTTAGACTAAATATGATAATTGTTTTTAATTAAACATAATACTAAACACAAACTGCCAAATAGTGTCTAATAGATATAATTATTAATAAATATGAATGTATTGTTTTAACATAATTTGAAGTAACAAATAATTTGATAATATTTTTTATACAAAACTTATTGTAATTTTTATATAGTTTTTTTTCCAATGATTGAAATGTTTTTTTTGTTTGTTTGTTGATGTTTTGAAATTATATTATTATTATTTTCAATTACATTACACAATCCTATTCATATCACTTATTTAGTTAGTATGTAATTAATTTAGAAAATTTAAATTAAACAAAAAAAATATTTTAGTTTAAGCATAATTGTGAAATAATCTTTAGTAAAAAATACTGTTTGTTTTATTTATTATAAAAATTATTATAAATACTATTTTTCTTTAGTTTATATATCTAATAATAATAATAATAATATTTTTTATAGACTTTTAATTTATTAATTAATAACTACCAAAAATTATATAAATATATATATTTTTATACAAAATTTACAAGTAAATGATAATTTTTTCCAAAAGTTTCCAGTAATTGATTTTTTAAAATACTATTTTTAAATAAGTATTTATAATGTAAATCAAATATATTTACTACAAATTGTTATTTTTTTTTATCTATGAAAACGTCTAAAATTGTTGTTTTTAACGATCAGATAWTTATTTGATTTAAATTATTATTTCTAACATTAGAAATATTTAATATATTCAATAGTAATAATCAATTATTGTTTTTTTAAATTATATWTATTTTTTTAAAAATATTATTAAATTGTATAAAAATATTTATTATATAGCTTTTTCATAATCATCTGATAAAATTTATTGTTTTTAAAAAGATATATTTATTTAAATCATAAAATTGATATTTTAAATATATAATAAATTTTTCATCTCATATATTATAAATAAATATATGTACTGTAAACTATCTAATTTGTATTTTTTATATCAAAATAAAATAAAATGGTTAATCWATTTAWATATATATATATATATATATATATCATATTACATGTATATGAATCGTATAAATATATATARAGTGTATAATTGATTTAATAATTTTATTTCTAGCTAATTAAAATAACAGTACCAAAAAAAAAACAATTGTTGTCTAACAAAATATATTAATCATTGATAATTTGAAATATTATATGAAATACTTTATATATATATATAGTATAGTATATACAGGTATACAATATATTAGACAACACACCAGTAAAAAAAATTATAAAACAGCTAGACTTGTTATTTATTGCAAATTAATTATAATATACAGTATATTATAGATAGATAGATGATAGATAGATACAGTAGATGAACTGTCACATTTTTCATCTATATATAATATATATATATACTGTATATAAATTTATACAGTATACATGTATATATGTGGTGCAGGCTATTTATTTTGTTAACACTTAATAGGATTCCCAGCCAACTTTATAACAGGTATTTGTAATACAAATTTTTGTATATATAATATATATATATATATATATATATATATATATATATATATATATATATATATATATACTGTATATTATACAGACAGTAGAAGTCTATACAATGTATATGTACAGTATATTCTGTATATTATATATATAAAAGGTATTTTCATTATTAAAAAAACTGTTTCAACAAAAAATATATATACAGTATTAGTCTCTCATTTATAATACCCCGTAATATAACAGTCAATGCATACCTACACACACACACACACACACTCCTATGAGATGAAAATTACATTAATATATTGAACCGGTTTTTCACCTAAAAATTTTTTTTAATACATTTTATTTTATAATATAAGGCGTCTCAAGTCTGGCTCTTGTCTACACAACAAGAAAATAGTGTAAAACTCTCTCTCTCTCTCTCTCTCTCTCTTACATCTACCGGTGCTTAGAGATATAAATTTAGAAATTATTAAGATATAGGAAAAATCAGTATTTATATATATATCTACTGAATAAATATAATAAACTTATATATCATATATATATATGATGTATAAAAATTTAACATTAAAATTGCATACAAGTGTGTGTGTGTGTGTATGTGTGCTTTGGACAGACCTTTAGGGTAGAGTCTCTTTAGTTTAAAAGTAGGAAAAGAAAAATTCTAGAAATAAAAAAATTACTTTGTTTTATACCAATACTATAAAAAATATATATAATATAATATAACAGCCCTTACAGACAGACAAACGAGAGAGAGAGAGAGAGAGAGAGAGAGAGAGAGAGAGAGAGAGAGAGATCACAGGTATTATATAATAGCTGGTAATAGGAATCTATTTCTAGACACACATACAATTGGTATACCAATTATTATTATTATTTTTTAGGGAAGAGTAGGTAAATATATACAGTATATACTGTCTATAGTGTAGTTTTTCTTATATACAGTATAGGGAATGTATGTTTCCGAGAGTTATATAAGTGTAAACTTTCACTCATGTGTGCCGATAGTTTAGTCTCTCTCTCTCTCACTCAGAGATAGCACAGAGAGGAACGGCATGTA